TTATCCGAGTGGACCCATCTCAACCTGACCAGTTGAGCTAGTGGGTGGGGGGTTAAGAAAGATGCCTCCCTGCCCTGGAAAGGTATTTTTAGAATTTTGGGAAGCTTGAAAGGAGAAGACGCTCCTCCACTTCTTTGCTCACTCTCCCCTCATTGTTTTCCCTTTTGTCCCAGAGCCGCCTGACATGCTAGTGCCTTCCTTTGCTCATCCGCGATTCGAACGGATGCACGCGTGCCATGCTGCTTTCAAATTGCATCCCTATGTAGGATTTTTGGTTTGAATATGAGTTCTTTTTTCTCCATGCTCCAATGACGTGCTGATTGAGCTGAATAAGGTGAAATGATTTGACATAGGTCGCGCTATGTTGCATTATTCTTATTTTGATGTTTTGCATGTTCCTATGATTTTATTAAATTATTTTGCTTCGCCGTTCAACATATAACGTGCGCGATTCTGGGCCGATAGCTAGGCCGAGCAACAATTGATTCTTTTTTGTTTTTGTTTGTGTGTGTGACAGCTCTACAGGCCAAACGCTTACAGATATGAACTTTGGGTTTCGACAGAACTCTTCCTTATCATCCGAGGATGTTTCGAGATGAAATTTGCAAATCGATCTCACGTAAGGAAGGGAAGGCAACTCTCACGGACAATCTGAGATTCGCTCTCGTCTCCCCATCTACCGGATGAACGAGAAGACGAGGGTTGCCTTTGTACTCGAACCGGTTGAACACGCTCTTAAGTTCCTGTGGAGGCCAGGCCATAAGAATAGCATCGTCAGCAAAAAGACATTGATGCTGAACCCCTCGAGGCCAATGCTAAGTCTACAGTCTACAGATCTCCTGTAGAAAAGGAAAAATAAAGGAGTGAGAACGCAACCCTGACGGAGTCTCATACGTACGAGGAACGAGTCCTTAGCTTATCCCGTTCACTCCTGCAATCACTGTACCGTATAAGGATTGGATGGCCCACAGTAACTGACCCCATCCTCCATAACCGTGTGACCCGTTAGCCCCATACTCCTGCAGCACTCCCCACGGCTCCCCTCGAAGCACATGTATACAAACCTCATACAAGCTTACTTTAATGGAAAAATGGAAAGGGGTTTGATTTGTGGATACCTGAGTCAGCTGTACTGCCGGAAGGACTTTTGGATCTTCCCTCAGCATCAGAGTTTTGGAGGCTAACTCTTTGTTCCTTGCATTAACAGGTGTAAGTTCTTCCTTCAAAATGGCCAACTGTATCTGCAACTCTGCTACCTATGGAGCCAAACATTTCTCGTCCATTAACGCCGACAAAACAATATGGCAAGGAATAGGGAAGAGAACGTGACACCTGTTTTTCACTGTCCTTGAGCTTTCTTTCGATCTCGGATAGCTCTTGCTTTGTTTCTTCATGTGCATTCTTCTCCATTTTGAGCATGTCTTTCGCTTTCTTCTCCTCGGTCGATGCATTCGACAGCTTCTGCTGCAGCACTTGCGGCTGCAATTAAAAGTAATTTTCTTACTTTTATCTCATTCAAAAAATTATGCTCCTCAGGAATGGGATAAAATAAGAGACTTTTAGCTGTTTCTCGATCTCGCGATTCCTTTGCTCTGCCATTTGACGTTTAGATGTCTCATTCCCGAGTTGTTTCTGAAATTCATTTATTCTGATCTCATGCTCTTTCGGCCCCCTCTCTGTATCCAACGCCTAAGAGATATCAAAATTCCTTGCTTCCAGTGCCTTATCAGTCACTAACTGAATTGAGATAAGTGCAAGGCAATGAAGCCAAAGTGAGCAAGTAGTCCGCATGGCTTGTGCTCAGAGAGTAGCATTTTACCACACTTGTATTGAGTCAAGTCATTTCAGGCATGTAAGTCTTATTGTCAGTGTGATAATTTCATTTCATTAGATTGATATATTATCTAACAATAGTTAGAAGAAACAGGCACTCTTTTTCTCCTCTGTCATACCATCTCAAATCAGCCAGAGGCCAGAGCATGATCCCCTCCGATATTGACGAAAAATGTTTATGTGGTACCCCTCATGGTCCAAAGTAAGAATGCAAAATTTTGGCTTTGAGCATGGAGCCGTTTTGGCACGATAATTCGTTAAAGTTTGATAAAATGACAGAAATTTCGAAAAAAGGACACCTTTTCATGCTCATGTGGGCCGAAATGTTTTCGGCCTTGACGAACGCAGCGAACATCATTGTTCTTTAAAACGGTTAGACTTTCAAAGTTACTTCATATACTTTTCCCCTCGAGGCGATACTGAATGAAATAAAGCAAATTTTGCCATATTCAGAAATTTTCAAAATGTCAACATCTTCATAAAACCTTACCATCGTGTATGTTTTCGGAATCAGCGGGAAAAGATCTAATGATGTGTGTCCCATTTTTGTCCCAACAAATTCCACTTAAGGAGATGCGATGACTCGAAATATGCAAAAATCACACATTTCGGGAAAAAACTTTTTTGAATTATATTGTGCCAATTTCTATGCAGCTCAACAAACTTGAAAAATTTGCTGAATGTCTGTCATTTACTTGAGTAAAAGATAAGAGCAATTTCAAAGCTCATATTTTTTTGTTTAAGGCATACCAAGCATTTTTTTCAAACCCCACCACACAACTTCTACCGTTGTTTTTAAGGCCAAAATTTTTCCTTTCATTAGAGTCAGAAAAAAATTTGAAAAACTGGTAGTGGAAGCTCTAGGGTTCTTCGGCTTTCTTCCTCGTCCTTATGTGTTCTACAAATAAAAAACGATTGGGAACCACTACTCTATCGTATCCAACTTGAGATGCAATGCAATGCAGTTCAGAGGACCTAAGACCTAATAATTCATCCATGCCATAAATGCAATGCAATGGAAACTCGTTAACTCGAATCCTAATAAGGCTAAATTCTGCTAATCTCGAAATTCAATGGACAGCGGATTAAATAAATTTAGCAATTGCTCAAGGCGTGCAATCGGCAACATTTTCTTGCCTATTGCTCGCACTTTGGAAAAAAGTTGGGCATTGCATGCAATTAGCACGATAGTTGCTTTTTTTATGAAATAGGCAAAAACATTGCGCAATGCGCGCAATGAGCAGTTGCACGAATCACGCATAACATATACACGAGGCAAGTTTGTTGGCAAGTGCTTGCTAGCAAGTTCTTTTGCATTGTGTGTCAGGGTCTTTAGGACAGAAACATCGTCCTCTATTTTTATTTATTAGATATTTTGTCAAGGGGTGGAGGCAATTCCTGTTAAGTTGAACTATACTGTAGAGAGCTCAAAACGATTTGCCCGGTCTCTTAACCTCTTCAGACCCATGGCATGTACACATGCCAAATATCAGATTTTCAAAACCTCTGCTCAAATCTCTTTTTCGTCGTAAATCGCGCTGTCATCCATATTAGGATTAACCTTTTAACTCCCAAGTTTCCGAAGCTACGAGCGCTCTTGCTTCGGCAAGAGTTGGGCTTGGGATGATACAGCCCTGGAGGCCACGTATGCGCCTCATTGGACTCTGTCTACTTCATAGCAGAGGCTTGTGGACTTATGCGAGTATGGCTGCACGCGTCGTCTGCGATCATTATAGCTCTTTTCGATTGCTAATTATTGACCTCAAAGTTATGATGCACGTTGAAATGCATTGCCAAATAGTGTGGGAAACTATTTAGAAATAAAGGAATATCTGACCTTTACAGAGTTCTTATGGGATGGGTCAAACTGTAGATAAATGCATGTACACATGCCACAAGGCATTGCACCGGTTCATTTCCATTTCTCTTCAATTACACAGAACTTCTTGATCAGCTAGGAGACGATGACATTGATCTACCTGAGAACTATGATGTGCTCTACCCCTCCCAGCACCAGGCTGACGAAACCGAAGAGGAAGAACAGAAAGAAGACTAAGGCATGGACAGCGGCAGATTGAGGGGAGGAGTGGCACCCCCATGATTGTTTCAGGTAATTCCAGCGTATTCACTCAGCATACGGGAGGCATGCTCCCCCCTCCCCGAAAAACGCTTGGATCTGCCGCTGGACATGGATGTCATATGACAGGAAGATACCTCCGGCTTCATTACCCGCAAAGGAAGCCACATCTTGTGTTGCTGTTCGCACACCGGATACTTGTAAAAGTCAGAACCACAGCATGGGGGACAAGTATTTCGAAATTACTGACCTCTTCCTTAGGAATGGGGTGGAGGAGGAGGCTAAGGAGAGTGTAGGGGTACCGCGATGCTTCAGTTTTATCGACATACCGTCCAGTCCAAATTCATAATATTGTCGGCGCAATGACTGTGATAGGGTCAAGAAACTTAGAATGGGGTGGAGGAGGAGGCTAAGGAGAGTGTAGGGGTACCGCGATGCTTCAGTTTTATCGACATACCGTCCAGTCCAAATTCATAATATTGTCGGCGCAATGACTGTGATAGGGTCAAGAAACTTTGTCTAATAGGATCCTTGATTGCTAGTTTCCACAATTTTCTTTTACTCTCACAAATGCATGTTGCGAACTCGCACTACTAAAGAGGAAAACCAAGTGGCATGTGCACATGCCACCCATTCCTGCAATACCAAGGAGGATTTAAAAAATATTGGCTCCCTTGCTGCGCCCATCAGAGGTGGAGCTTGAACAACGAGCCAAAGGATTTTAAAATTGGCATTTGACTTTGCCGTCCGGTTTGAAGAGGATAAATTTCGAGTTAACGAGTTTCAAACTGTAATTTGAGATGCAAGAAGTTTCGTCAGCATTAACTGTTTACAACGAGCCAAAGGATTTTAACATTGGCATTTGACGTTGCCGTCCGGTTTGAAGAGGATGAATTTCGAGTTAACGAGTTTCAAACTGTAATTTGAGATGCAAGAAGTTTCGTCAGCATTAACTGTTTCATTTTTCAGAAAGTCTTTCTGAGCTTCAAGTTTAACTCAAGAGTAAGGCCAAAGTCTGCATAAGAACATTAACAAAAAAAGAACAAGGAAACTATGCTGATTGGCGAATATAGGTCTTCATATACAGATTACACTGGAGCAGAAACCTGATTCAGTGGAGACATAAAGCCGCACTTTTATCACTTTTTCATTTTTCCCTCTGCACGAAATGCACGAAAATTATTGTATTGGTCTGTTCGACCTACAATCTGTTGAATAGTGTTACACTTCCATGTGGTAGCACAATTCCCGTACCTGTGCAAGTGCCCTTGTGATGTTCCCTGCGTCTCCACTGTCCGACCTGCGGGGATCCAACATACTCTCATTGCAGCGTATGAAAGAGAAGAATGTGAATTTCATGATTTGCTGATGACTGATAGGCCTAAAGTACCATTGCTTTATACATTATTTAATACATCTGCATGAATTGCGCAAGATCAATATGAAGTAATGAGAAAAACCAGATCGTATATCATTTGCATGACTGCATATACAGAGTCGCTAAAAAAAATGTACCACTTTTCCGCTAATTCAGGTGCTTTCAATATTGAACCAATATCAAGACAAGCACACAGGGTAATCAAAAGTATCCGACGGCTTTTCAAAATCGATTTTTCATATTTACTTGATTAACTGCATGTGGTACAGTATTATATAGGCAGTAGAAATGAACTGCATTTTGCTTACGCAAAGAAAAAACCGACGCGTTTATTTCTATTTAAAAGCGCACAACGTGGTTTTATTGTGCAAGCGATTTTCCCGCCTCACTTTTTCAGATGGGAAAAAAATGATTTCACGAAAAAGCAGCGTGGCACCATTTTTTTACTGCCATAAACGTTGTGACCCATATCGGAAAATCGCAACACGCAACTGTGATAGGCTGCAAAGCGTTAGTGATCTGTTTCTCAATTCTTAGATGTTATTGGGTTCCTGAACTCAGACAACCCCAAGTAACACAGTATGTTGATGAAACGTTTCCGAAATGCTGACTATGTTGCTCTATGTTGCAAGTTGATCTACAACATTGATATAACATTGCTTCAATTTTTCCACTTGGAATGTTGCTACGACATTTCTATGAATGTCATTGCAACATTAGCTATCAACATTGAGAGAATGTTGACACTCTTGACATCGACAACGTAGCGACAACATTCTGATACAACATGGACTTATAAGTTTTAGAGAATT